TATATGCGAGAGAAAAAAAAATTAAAATTTACACCGGAAGAAGAAAGAGAGCAAATATTTAAGAAGAAAAATGAAGAACAAGTTCGCCCAAATTCACGATTTAAATGGTACAATGACCCGGAGACTCCCAATAAGACATCAAACCCGTCATATTGTGGAAAGAAACTGAATTTTTAATTTTTGAGAACAAGTATTTTCTTTATTAATTTTTTATTTGGAAAAAAGAAATCAATTCAAACTTTTGATACTATTTTCTAGAACTGAAGAAACAAAACCAAAAAGCAACTGAATCATAAACTATCAAATATTTAATTAATTTATTTATTATACTCTCTAAATCTGAATTAATTAAAGTTTTAACTGATCGAACCGGAGACTGACTTCTTGTTTTCAAATAAGCACCGTAACTTTCCTAAAAATTTACTTGCAAACCTCAAAGTATTTATTTTTTAAGTTTAGTGACAATTGTGTAAAGATTTAAATGTCCCACTTTAATAAATGTTTATCGTCAAACTTTTCTCAAAATTTGAAGTGAAAAACTTTTCTGAACATTTATTGAAGGGGGACATTTAAATCCTTACACAATTTTTACTAAACTTTGCAAATAGGGGAGTGTATCCAGTTGTGAGACACCTCCCCAGCTGTGAGACAGTCAATTTTTTTTAACACGCAATATTAATTGAAAAAGGTAAATGTAATATATTTTCATTTAGTATTTTCCTTATATTTTGTGATGCAACATTGCATTGTTCTAATCTACTATTGAAAATAATTTAATTTTCCTTTTTGAAAATAGCGCCAATTTCTGGGTGTGAGACACAGCATGACAGCATATCACCAGTTGTGAGACGGTGTCGACACCCAGCATAAAAAATACAACTTTGCAGGCATACTAATATTAATATATTTAACTATTTCTACTAAACATAACGTTTTATGTCAAGCTTTTTAAATTCTAGCGATTTTTAATAAGTGTCTCACAATTGGATACATCTTTTGTTTTGTTGACAAAAGCGATAAGCTCGGACAGATGATCATATAACTTTTTTTGAGTCCATCTGAACACTATACTTTCTTTGAATGAAAGTTGCGTATTTGTTACTTTTCGAACGGTATATTTTATTTACAATTTCGTTTACCCATTTACAATTTATAGTTGAAAAACAAAACCCGTCTCATACCTTGACACACTCCCCTAAATACTCCGTAAATAAATTTTTATGAAAGTTTCGGTCCAAAATTAGTACAAAACTAATTTCTCTCAACGAATAAATACATAAATTACGCAACAAAGCTACCTTTATCACATTCTATGTCCCTTATCCATTTCCCTTCCTATAAAAGCACTGAGATTACTCTCGCGTCTTAAATATCAAAGAAACATTACATAATTTCGTAGAATTTATAATATACACAATAATTGTAATTGAACAGAAAGATTATTTATCATTATAGAAGAGAATTGCACCGCGTAGTTATATTTCTTATTGAAGCGAATGTGTAAGACGCACAATTTGTAAGCATAATACGTAACTCGCAACTTTTATACATATATATACGTGTAGGAAAGTGATGGAATGAGTTACATAAACGTCAAGTCGGAACTGCGACGAGGAAGGCCAATGTCCTAGGCTGTTGATGTCTGTGGTTGAACGTTATAAGAAAATAAAAAAAGAAAAGAGAAGAAAAAAAAACTATTCAGTTGACACGTACTATCCGTTACATACAGCATATATCCACACACAAATGATAGATGATGCATGTACTTGCAATAATATCCCCATTAGAGTCTGGATCAGCGGTTGTATTTAGCGTTGATCAAATGCATCCGGAATTTCTCTTTATATATATAAACACACATTGCAAAAATAAAAACTTGTCTTATTAAATGTGATTTGTTGTTTGATTTTCTATTGCATACAAATAGTTCCATTACGTTAGGATTATTTCTGTTATTTTCTAATGTCACTGGCAGGTATTGATGATTGTTGGTTCGTTATTGAGTAGCTTCAATCGGTACACAGTTTTTCTAAGGATTGAGACAAAAAACGAATCAAAGTTTTGATTCGTTTTTTTGTCTCAATCCTTAGAAAAACTGTGGCAATACTTTCTGTATGCAGTAGCTGCAAAGTATTGTAGCTTCAATTTGAAGTAACTTCAATAGGTAGCTTCTAATTTTTTATACCATTCATAACATGCAGTAGCTTTAATATTCTCTACCTTCTATATAGTAGCTACGAACCTAACAATTATTTATTTTTGTATAACTACTTTTTTCAATTGTTATACCATCACCAACTCCTATTACTTTCCACCAAAAAGAATGCGTCCAAAAGAAGAGAAAATTTTGCGTAACAGTTAAAAAAATGTCTTGAAAAGAAAAATGAATGAAGTGAATAGAAAACTATGATGGGAAATGATTCTATCACGACTGACACTGATCATCTTTAATGATTGTGTAATGAGACCAACCTTAGAAAATCTTGGGACTTTCATTTTGCCATTTTGCAGATAGAGAGAAAGAGAGAGAGAGAGAGAGGGATTAACCTAGCTAAAGTAGTTTCTAGGTCTCGGTTCTGGTAAATATTGTAATAAAGAATTGCAAAGCAACAAGAGATTGGCAGAGCGAGGCGAAATGGGAAAGAGACTTTCTCAAAATGTTTCATACTATATGCACTTTAGTTGAAAACTTTCTTCGAGAGAATCGTGAAAGCCACTCACACAAAATCCCCTTATAAGCGCATTTCATAACTTGTTAACGTTCCGTAACGTGCGAATAATGAGAGAGCAATTCCTTTTATAAAAGTAAATAACTAAAAATTTACTAGTTTTTCATTTTTTTACGCTGCCGCGTACTGACCAATCATAATAATTTTATCATTCAATTTTTCGTCGAGAAAAAAAATAATAACAAAAAGAGGAAATTAAGATAAATGAAAAATAAACAATTCTATTAATTCCGAATACTATTAATCATATTGATACTTGAAATTTTTTTCTAAACTTTTTTTTTAATGTAAACAAACTCACAATTGAAATTTAATCTAAACTTTTTTTTATTCTAAACAAACTCACAATTGAAATTTAATCTAAACTTTCTTTTATTGTAAACAAACTCACAATTGTAATTTTTTCTAAACTTTTTTTTACTGTAAAGTGTAAACAAACTCACAATTTTTTGCATTTTTATTAATTATAAAAAAGGGAGAAACTGAATTTCTCCACTTGAGAACGCCAAGGTCACCGCCAGGTGTCAGTAAAAATTCCAAGAAGGAACTGAACTGCCATCTAACGATGACCTTGGCGTTCGCAGGTGGAGAGTAGCGTCTCAACATCTTCGTCAAAATTTATAAAGTTTAACAATTAACAGCATTTAAATTTTCAAATAAGAAATAACAAAAATAAAGAAGAAAATAAAATCGAAAAAGCTAATATATACGTTTATTGAAGTTAAAAAAAAATGAATTCAAGTGCATCGTTGGCACTTAGGTTAACTAATATGTAAAAGAGAGTGTCTTCGGGGAAAAGTGCATAATGCCAAGATCTGTTGTTATTCGGCGTATATATCGACAGATAGGTGCTTTATATATGTGTAGGGTCATTGAACGCTGATTGTATTGCAACAGTAATACGTAACTTGTGTTGTGTCGGCAAAATTTTCTTTTGGTTGGTGTATATATTGAAACACACCTCACCTCTAAGTTGCAATGGAATCACAAGGTTCAACGACTTCCTCCGATTACATACACGCGTGACACTGCTTTTCAATCGATCGTCGACTAAATCATTCTCACGATTAACTTTGTGTATTGAGAGAGTTGTAATATGCACTTTTCAAAATTCTGATACCCAGAATCATGATGCAAACTTCATAAATATCATTGCGAGGACTTTGTACCTTCATTGTTTTCTGCTCTACATAATCAAATCCGCAAAACATATTCAATATTACACACCATTTTTATTTATATACTCAATAATTGAACAATTATTTACTCAATTGGTTCATATTTTTTAAGATGATAACTATTACTAAATTCTACGAGAATTCAATTATTTAAATACGAAAATAAAAATGTTATTATTTAAAAAAATAATTGAACTATTGCGAAGAATTTTATTAAAATTTTTAAAAATCATTGAATATCGGATAATTTTAAAAAATTTCTATTAAGCTTTTTGATGAAAATTAGTAAATTCTCCAAAATTCAATTATTATCGAAAACTTTAACTGAAATTAATTTTAAAAAAATTTTTATTGGAAAATTCTACGAGAATTCAATTATTTAAATACAAACATAGATAATTTATTGAATAATTAAATTTTTGTTAAAATTAAATTCTTATGCATAATTTTATAAACAAATTTTTAAATAATTGAATTCTGTTGGGAAATTTTATTAAAATAGTAGAATATTGAAAATCATTGAATTAAGAAAAAGTTTTGAAAATACTTGAAATTTTGCAATGAATTTCATTAAAATTTTTGAAAATAATTGAATTTTGTAATGAATTTTATTAAAATTCTAGAAAATAATTGAATTTTGCTATTCGTTTATAAAGATAATTGAAATGTTGACAATTTTTTTTAATTTTTTGAAGAAAATAATTGAATTCTTGTAATGAATATTGTCATTTATGAAAATAATTAAATTTTTCAATGAATTTTATAAAAATTCCTGAATATAATTGAATTTTGGCGAAGAATTTTGTTACTTATAAAGATAATTGAAATGTTGGCGAGAATTTAAAAAAAAAATTTTGAAAATAATTGAGTTTCTAGAAAGAATTTTAATATTTATTAAGATAGTTGAATTCTATTAAAAAATTGCGTTAAAATTTTTCAAAAAATACTTCATTCAAAAGTATTCAATCATTATTTAATCATTATCCAGCTCAATTAAAATTTAATAAAAATTTACGAACTACTGAAAAAAAAATAAAAAATTTATGGATTCATGAAAATTAAAATATAATGCGAAGGAATTCTAAAGACTCACCGATAGCAGCATCTCTGGCAAAGCGGTAGCAGCATCCCTCTGGACCAGCGGCAAAAGAATCCTCACTCACTAGCACAACACTTTTTTCTGCAACCTGAAAAATTGAAAAAAAACACTTAAATTCGTTGTTTTAACAGTAATTTAAATTTTATTATTTATCTTATAAAAAAGCATAAAAATATTTAAAAAATAAATAACAATAAAAAAATAAATAATACAATAAGTATAGAAATATCAAAAAGTTCTTTTTTTTCTTATCGATCACAAAAAAAATTCACAAACAAATCTAAATTGTTGTATTAATTTTATTCATTTATTATTAAAAAAAACGGTTTAGAAAAATATTTATATTTTTTTATTTTTCGATATTCGAATAAACACTACACAGATTATTTTATACGAGGAAATTAATTTTCAATTACGGTCTAAATATAGGTAATTTGAATTAATATCTATAGAATAAGATTAAAACTTTCTTATAATGAAACTCAAACTCGTTTTTTTCTATAATTTTTATAAAAAAATTAGAAAACTGGTTCGATATCTTCAATTATTTGAAAGTAGTTAATTAACATTTTGAGAAATAAATTTCGAAAAAAAATTTCTCTTAAAAATAAAATTCCAGTATTTAATGCAAAATCAAACAAGAAAACACAGAAAAATACGACAATCCAAAAAGAGAGACAAAAGTTCTCTAATTTTTCATTATTTAGTAATTACATAATTAATTATTATTAATTAAGCATTAAATTATTAAATCATGGCAGAAAAGTTTCATCTGGAATAACGATAAAAAATTTCTTTAGAATAGAATTTAATTCAATTAAATTAATAATTAAATTTCAGTTTTAACTGAAAGAACCAAAAAGTTCGCTAATATAGTGAAATTTTCTCTTGTTCAAGATGAATTCTTTTTGCCACGATCAATTAAATAATCCAATTTTCAAATCATCGCAATTTCTACATTTTATGTGACACAAACAATAAGCAAAAAAAAAAAAAAAAAAATGTAAAAATGTGTCACATTCTTTTTCTATTTAAAGAAAAAAAAATTTTGCAGATAGAGCACAATATTGTTGCAGTGATTGCATGAATTATATTATATGATTCGCCTTCGGCTGCAATTATGCGCTAGAAATTGTAACAAGAGCAGGAGGGAATGCCCCGAAAGGGTAAGAAAGCGGAACGTCGACTGCCATGTTATCTATTATACACTTGAAACTTGAACGTGGTCCGTGACATGACTCGAGGTAATATTTTTTCCAAACAAAACAATGCACTTCACGAGTAAAAGAGAGAGAGATTGAGAGGAAGAAAAAAGAAACAGTTTAACTTGTCGTAAACTAATGACAACAAACGTCCAACTATACTCAAGGCATTATAACTTTCCATCTGCTCACGACATAATTCACCCGCAACAAATAATAATTTATACACCCAACTCACCTGATCTCTACTTAAAATTAAAACAAGCGTATCCAATAATTTTACAAATTAGCAAAATTTTCAATTTAAACCAACAGTAAATCAAGAGTACACAATATTTCTTACTTTCATTATTCAGAAACCTCATCTTTTTATTTTATTTTTTTAAACTATTTTCTTTGCTTGTATATAAGCAAATGTCCAATATATATTATTACTAATATATATATAAAAAAAAATAAATTTCCATATCCAATAAATTATAAATTATTTGATTCAAATTTAACCTATTACTTGTCTATTATCAAATAAATATTTACATGAATCAAACTTTTTCTAAATCGGAAATAAAATCTAAAAAAAAGTTCAGAGAACCTTCGTCTTCTGGAAAAAGCTCTACTTCAATAAAAGAAACTCCAATTTGACGAAGAAAAGCCCAAATTTGATATTCGACACCAAAAATTGTTAATAACAATTGTCAAGACCACTGTTGTTTCTCAAGACCCAAATTTTGTTTAAATCGGAAATAAATTCTAAAAAAGCTCTGAATACCTACGTATTTCGGAAAAAGCTCTACTTTCATAAAAAAAGTTTTATATTCATGTTTTATAATAATTAAAGATGGCCCAGTGATAAAATAATTATTTTATATTATAAGAATATTGTATTTCTTCAAAATTATTTTCATCATTTCAATTCAATTATTATTTTCATGAATTTTTAACTAAAATTCTTCTTTAAATCGCAATTAATTTTCAGAAATAGTTCTCTGACAAATTCCAAATCCATTTGTTTACAATATTCAATTTTACGAAATTTCAATTATTCGTAAATTCTTCAATTAAATAAATATTAGAAAATAAAAACTTAAAATAATATTTAAAAAATCCGCAATTAAACTTTTTCAAAAAAATTTATTTCAAAATTCAATTATTATCTAAAATTTTAACTGAAATTCATCTTTAAATCAATTTTTATTAGAAAATTCGACTAGAATTCAATAATTTAAATACAAAAATAAACAATTTAGTGAATAATAATTGAATGTTTTTTAAAATTGAATTCTCATAAAGAATTTTTCAAAACAAATTTTTAAATAATTGAATTCTTTTCACTAATTTTAATAAACTTTTTTAAGAATAATTACATTTTTCGAAAAATTTGTTTAAAATTATGTTAAAAATAATTGAAATTCTGCGATGAAATTTATTATTTACATATATATGAAAATTATTGAATTCCTAAAAAAAAGAAAATTTTATTATTTTTGAACATAATTAAATTTCTGCGAAGAATTTTATTGCTCTTGAAAAAAATTGAATTTCTGCAATAATTTCTAATTTTTCCAAAATAAAATTTTTTTTCGTGTTTTTAACTAAAATTCTTCTATAGACCTATTATTATTAATAATTTTTGAAAAAATTCTTTAAGAATTATCTAATTCATTTTTTTACAATTTAATTTTTCAAAATTTCAATTTTTCGGAAATTCTTCAATTAAACATATTAGAAGATAAAAACTTCAAAAAATTAATTTCGAGTAAAATTGAAATAGACTTTTTTAAAAAAATTAATTCCACAGAATTGTTTGTTAAAAGTATGAAAAATTAAAAAATTCAAAGCTTTTAATATAAAACCTTTTCAAAATTTAATTATTTCTCAAAACTCCAGCTATAATGCTTTTAATAATCAATTATAATCTAAAATTTTTAGTGAAATTCATTTTTCAAACAAATTTTATTTTGTCAAGAATTTTATTAAAATTTTTTTAAAATAATTGAATTTCTGCGAAGAACTTTATTACTTTTGAAAATAATTGAACTTCTGCAATAATTTGTAATTTCTCTAAAATCCTCTAAATTATATCCTACAATTTTAATTTGATAAAAAAAAGACCAAATTTGACAATCGCCTCCAAAAATTGTTTAAAAAAATTTTCAAGACCAGCGACGATTTTCCAGATTCAAATTTTTTCTGAATCGAAAAAAAATTCGAAAAAAGTTCTGAGTACCTCCGTTTTTTAGAAAAGCTCTATTTTAATAAACAAAGCTCCAATTTTATGAAAAAAGCCCAAATTTGATATTCGACTCCAAAAATTGTTTATAAGGCAAACAAAAAAGACACCAAAACTAAAAAATTTTTTATGAATTCTAAAAATTTAATTTTTTCCAGCTTTCAATAAAATTCCTTGACTAATTCTACTTTCCTTGATTTTTTTCCGAATTTCCTGACCTGTGAAAACCCTGAATATTTTCCATTTTCTTTCAAAATTTTATTTTCTCTTTTTTTCCTTACATAAGCCAAAAAAAGAAAATAAAAATTCTTTCCAAAATTGCAATTTCGATTATAACAAAAAAATCTCTATAAAAGAAAAGCAGCAATCGTCGAAATTGCCTTGAAGTGAGATCAAATCGGAAACATTAATAAAACGTAACCTTCAAGTTTCCAATCGGATCTAAAATATGTAATAATTCTCTCATCAGATTCATCTTATACAACTTTTTTTTCTTTCATTTCGTTTCAAGGAATTTCCTATAGATTATATATTATATACATATGGCGAGTGAATGCAAATAATTTCTGTACACACGTATGTCATGTCACGGCCTGTGATAATCAAAAGATTGTGTCATTTTCCTCTATAAAGATATAAAAAAAATGCACAAAAAAATTCTAATTTTATAAAAATACATAAGTCCATAATAAAAGATTTTAAATATAAAAGTAAATCCAACGAAAAAAATTCTAGAAATAAACGTAAGTGTAAAAAAAGCAGGTCAAGTAATTTCAATATTTAATCGCTTTACTGTTCAGTATTTGAAATATGTAATAATTAAAAATTTTTCCAGAAGCTCCAATATACACCCAGAGAAATAGTATATTTGGTTCAAAACCAACTAGACTTTTTATTTGTTTCAAATAAATTTTAGTTGGTTTAAATAAATTTTATTTAGTTTAAATAAATTTTAGTTGGTTTAAATAAATTTTATTTGGTTTAAATAAATTTTATTTGGTTTAAATAAATTTTAGTTGGTTTAAAAAAATTTTATTTGGTTTAAATAAATTTTATTTGGTTTAAATAAATTTTATATGGTTTAAATAAAATTTCATTTGGCTCAAATATATATGTTTTATTGTCGAATAAAATTTTTATTTAAAACAAATAAAAAGTACCTAAAAAAATATTCGGTAGCTTCAGGATACAGTAGTTTTAATAGACCTTAGCCTTACGGCAGAATGCTTAAAAAACATAAAAATATATCATAAAAAATATTCTAGATACAAAAACATATTTCCTTTCGCCCTTGCAGTGTAATAAATAAAATTTTTAGAAAAATTTATCACAAAAAGAAAATAATTGGGGTTTAAATTTATGTATCGTCTTTGTTAATTAATGACTTGTATGTATCTGTATGGTTGACTGGATAATATAGAATAGTGTGTTAAGAATCATTTTAGGAATAAATGGCAGGTCGTTGGCGCGTGTTATGGCATGAGAAAGCGCAACTTGTCATGTGCGACTATCAAGAAAAATTATCATTTCCGAGTGGCATGTACAACTTTTTTCTTTCTTTCTTTTTCTTCTTCTTTTTTTTTGCGCAACGGCACACCTTGTTAGAAATTTTAATAATTTTTTTTATGTTGATTCTCCAATAATTATATTTAAATA